CTATTCTAAATTTTCAGATGACCCATTTAGCTATTATTCAATTAATGAATAAAAGAAATGAGTCATCTAAAATGACATTTTGGGTCTATTCTAAATTTTCAGATGACCCATTTAGCTATTATTCAATTAATGAATAAAAGAAATGGATCATCTAAAAGGGCAATGCAGTCTTTTAATTAATTTTATCTTGGAAAAAGAAAAGAAAAAAAAAAAGAGGAAATTTCATGGGTCATCTTGTGTGGCACCTTGGGAAAACAAAGAGTCCAGTGCATGCATTGGCTCTTAAGTTTTCAAGAAGAGTTGGGGGTTTAATGCTCCACACCTATTTAAACCCATTCTTCTTTCATTTCAAGGGAGGAAAAAAAAAGAAAAAAAAGAACAAGAACAGAAAATTAGAAGAGGGAAATCATAACTTCTAAAAGAAAAAAATAGATATATATTTCATCTTTTGGTGGTCTTTGGGAGTTGAATTAAGTTTTGCTATTATCATTGTTTTGTCACCATCTCTTTAGGTACATCTCTTTCCTTACATTTTGCAATGTAACTTCAAAAAATAATGAAGCATGTTTTATACTTTTGATTAAATTATTATTGTTTAGTTTATTTGAATTAGTTAAATATGTTATGATACTTAATATGATTATGTTTCTATTGTTATTGTATATTTGTGTTTTATTATAAACTTAGGTGTTAATTCTATCTTTATCATTATGAAGTGATACATAACTTTATTAGAATTAGTTAAATTATGTTTTGTTATTATTATATATTTGTGTTCTATTATTAACTAAGTATTAATTTTATTTTTGTCATTATGAAGTGATACATAACTTTATTAGAATTAGTTAAATTATGTTTTGTTGTTATTATATATTTGTGTTCTATTATTAAACTAGGGGTTAATTCTATCTTTATCATTATGAAGTTGATACATAACCCATGCTTTTGCCCTAAAAAAAAACAACAATCTCAAAGTTTTTTTTTTTTTTTAGTTTCTGGTCATTTTAAGCAAAGAAAAAAAAAGAGGTTGTTTTTTGCAAAATAAAATAAAATGTAAATCTGGTCACTTTTGCAAAAAATGTAAATTTGATTATTTCATAAATTCTGTTTTTCTTTCTCTTAAATAAATATATGAAATGGTTATTGAAACAAAAGTACAAAATCGGCTACATTTGGTTAGTAATTCAACTATTAGATAAAATTGGCTATTTTTGCAATTTTCTTTCAAAAGAGCATATGACCATTTTGTGTAAAACTGAAAATTTTACGAAAATGATCATTTTCTGAAATTATATCAAAAATAAAAAAAAATTATATCACTACTTGCTTTAAAAGGAGCTTAGTCATTATTCATTTTTTTTTAAAAAAATATATACTTTTTTTTTCTTTTGTTGTTATCGTCAAGTAGTGATACTTAATATTTATTTGATTCTTTTAAAAAAAAAATCTTTTTCATATCTATATGTTGCTTCTTTTTTTATTAATTTTTTTTTTCTCATTAATAAATAAATTTTGAGTCATCAATTATCAGTCTTTTAAAAAAAAAATATATATATATATATATATTAAATAACACCATGTGTTCGGTTACGATCCTTGGAGTGTATTTTGTTTTCTAAAAAGTGGTCTTGTGTGCAGTTATGCTCCTAGGCCAATCAATTTTTTTT